TACATTACTAGAAGTGGAAGAATGTATTCTCTAAACTGACTATACCTGCAGCCAAAACAAATAGAATACACATGATGCGTGTTGTCCATCTTATAAAGCAGTATGTGTTTATTATGCGATTTGCCTCAGGTGTGGTGTTCATCTCCAGCAGAGAAAGCTTTAATCAAGAACTATCTATGACAGCCCCAGCCTTTTACTTTCTTCACCGCTCTCCTTTAGAAGCTTGCTGTATCTATTCAAAATATGCCTTCAAGTCCCTCGTATTGTGTTGTCTCTCTTATTCGTAATACGCATGATTGCAAACCATATTTTATCATGAAATTCATTAAGTTCTAATTGGCAGCTCCACAAAGCAATTAACTTTTTGCCTTTGTATGCTCTGGGCATCAAGTGTTGATCCATCTATTACCTTAGATATTTGCTTCTCCTTCAGTAAGTAACATGAATAATTAAAATATTGTATTTTTACTGACTAGAAAAGAAAGTTATAATTTTGGCCTGCTTTAAAACTTGGCACTTGATTAATATCTTTTTTTGCTGCAAAACAAAAAAAACCCATACTAGTCATATATAAATAATAGAATATTTGAATATGAAGAATTTATGTTTAATGTTATTTTAGTGAAAAGAAAGTGGTGAAACTATCAATGTACCAATACAAATGTAAGAATGACTGTATTTAAAGTGTGGCTCCAGGCAAATAGTGTACTCAATCATTAAACTGCTCGGCAGAAGATATTATGTGTTAAAATCAGAAATTCTAGTCATTTTTATCATCTGTGAGGTGGGGACTACAGCTTTTTTTTGTCACCTGACAACCTTTCTTTGTCCTTTTGTAATATGACATCAAGGAGCCTATAATGAAAATGTGTGCCACTCAGGCTACAATGGAAAGCAATCCTGTGTCCACCATTGAGTGAAACTCATTGGGGGTGTGGCCTGGAGGAAGCCCAAGCAGAGACTGCCATGTATCTTAATACCAGGAAGTCTGTATAGATGTGCGCCTTCATGGGATCCACCCTTTTGCTTCAAGGAGCCTACTGTGGGGGTGGAACTTGTGGGATTGAAAATATACCATGTATTTATTTGACCATATATTTTAATTTATGCAGTTTTTTTGCTCATGGGTGGGTAGCATGCCCCTTCCATAGTCTCCAGTCCAAATGCAGCTATTCCATTTCCACTTTTCTCTGTTTCAGTTTTTTTTTTTGAACATTTGAAAGTGTATATACAACCCATTCCATTCAATTTCCTAAGTTTAAGAACTATCAGAGTTCCTACATGTAAGTGCATCAGATGCTATATGAAAGTCTGTATACCGGGATGTGACAACCTGAGCTTTTAATGAAGATGGCAATAGTTACATACAATAGACTAGTGTTTTCTCAACCTTTTCATCAAGGCACCCTTTAAAATTATGGACAATTTCAAGGCACCCTCTAAAATTATGGACAGTCCCGAGACACACTTTAAAATTATGAAGCACACCATTCTGAAATGTAAAAAAACTATTCTATTAGTTTTAAATAACACATCAATGTCCACACACGTAGGACACCCAATGTTAGAGGTTATTTATTCTTTCAAAGCAAATACGCTTTTGCACACTGGTATTGGCTAGTATTCCAGTGTTTTTCTCCATTACTCAGCTAATGTGACCCCAGAACTAATGGACAGGGACAAGGGGAGGGTTAAAAAAAAGAATGCTGTGCAGGCAACCGACACCTTCCTTATCAACTGATGTAATCGGTTGTCAGGACGCTGGCAGCTAGAAGGTCATAATGTTGCACTGCAATGAAAACCTGTGGCTTTACGTAACTAAAAGGCAGGCTTGTTCCACCCGCTGGCTGGTATACAAATTGTGGGCAATTTTTAGACATTTTGCCAAATCACCCCTGAAGAAATCTCAAGGCCCCTTAAGGTGCCTGGCACCCTGGTTGAAAAAGGCTGCAATAGACCATATGAACCATATGAAAGAAAGCAATGCATATTCACCTCCTGTCCAGCACACAAAGTTGGTAACTTACTCCTTCTCTTTATCTGTACTTGTTATTAGTGTGCTTTGATGTGCTGGGGCAGGGCCGAGCTGTGCTATGTTTGTAGACACACACAGTCCAGCTTGGGATCGCACCCACAGGTCTGACCCCATAGAAAGCTGTTTGTTTATGAGGGCAGATGGAGAAGAGGAGGAGTGGAGAGCACCATTGCACAGAGCATTCCTGTGTTTATTTCTTTTGTTTGTATTGGTATTACAAAAAAGTGGAGAAACAAAAAGCCAAATCTGACACATTCCACCCAAAAACTCCAAAAATGGACTGGATAAAATTATTGGCACTCTCAATTTATTATTTGGTAGCACAACCCTTGAAAAAAACTACTGAAATCAACGACTTCCTGTAACCATCAATTAGCTTCTTACACCTCTCTACTGGAATTTTGGACCACTCTTCTTTTGCCAACTGCTCCAGGTGTATAAGATTAGGTTCCTTTTTCCCAGCTGCTGTTTTGAGATCTCTCTACAGGTGCTCTATGGGATTGAGATCTGGACTCATTGCTGGCCAGTTCAGTACTCTCCAGTTCTTTGTCTTAAACCATTTCTGGGTGCTTTTTGATGTGTGCTTTGGATCATTGACCTGCTGTAAGACTAATGAGCTCTGACAGAGACCAACTTTCTGATACTGGGCCCTAGATTTCACCCCCAAAATTCTTTGATAGTCTTCAGATTTCATAATGCCATGCACATCCAGTGCCTGAAGCAGCAAAGCAACCCCAAAACATCAAGACCTCATTTGTTTTGCCTGTCCACAGCACATTCTCCCAAAAGGATTTTGCTTCCTCAGGTAAGTTTTGGCAAACTCCAATCTGGCAATCTGTGTCAGCAGTGGGGTCCTCCTGGGTCTCCTACCAAAGCGTCTCTTTTCACTCAGATGGTGACGTATAGTGCGAGCTTACACATTTGAACCCTGTGTCTAAAGGTCAGCTTGAATTTGTCTGGAAGTTGAAAAAGGTTCTTTAGCCACCATTTGAACAGTTCTCCATTGCAATCTTTGATCAATTTTTCTTTTTTGTCCATGTCCAGGGAGATTAGCTACAGCGCCATGGTCTATAAACGTCTTGACAATGTTGGTCACAGTGGACACAGCAACATTAAGATCTGTGGAGATGGACTTGTAAATTTGAGGTTGTCCATGCTTTCCACAATTTTTTTTGCACAAATCTTCAGTCAAATCGTGGCTGCTCTTTCTTTTCTCCATACTCCATGTGGCACACAGAGACACACAACAGAAAAGTTGAGTCAATTTTTCACCCTTTTAACTGGTTGCCGGTGTGATTTCTTTATTGTCAGCACCTGTTAATTGATACAGGTGAGTTTTAATACAAATTATAGGAGCACCACAAACTTGGAATGCAATTATTTCTTACAATTTTGAGAAGGTGCCAATAATTTTGTACAGTTAATTTTTGGAGTTTTGGGTGGAATGTGTCAAATTTGGCTTTTTGTTTCTCCACTTTTTTGTATCATACCAAACAAAAGAAATAAACACGAGAATGCCTAAACATTTGTAATTGCAACCATTTTTTTTTGGTTTTGGCAAAGTGGTGCATTATCTGACAGAAATGCAGGGGTGCTAATATTTTTGGCCATGACTATATATCAATCCTGCAAAGAAAAGATGACAATATCCCATAGTGTAAAACCGCTACGTTTAATTGCCTACAAATGCAAAAGCTACTCACAGTTGTATATATGTAAAGGGCACATCAATATTCCTGGAATATTCCTGAGTAGCTTTTCAGTTTGTTTGCAATTAAACCTAGTGGTTTTACAATATGGGATGTTGGCATCTATTTTCTTGCAGGATTGACATACGCTGAGCGGAAGAGGTGATTCAATCCCTGCTGGTGTGCCAAGCGCATTAAGACCACCTATAATTTGGAGTCTTATTGATTAGTAAGAGGATATGTGTAGCAAGGAACAAACGGGGAATTTTTGAAGTTGATCCTGCACAAATTTGATTTTGATGGACTTTTTTGGACTTTATGGTATTCTATAGAGGAATCTAGCATTTTTGGGTGTTGACACACTTTTATTTATATATTATCTATCAAAATTTTCATTTAAGTTTCACATGTAAAATTGCAGAGCAACAATATTGTATGTTGGATTTATGCACTTGTATTTTTGGTGTTTTTGAGTGCTGCTGTACATGTTTTGTGAATTTTTGCACAAAGCGCAGTTTTCTTTGGTTTAATTGTTTTAAAGTGGTTTAAAGGCTCAAGTTTTTTTCTACCTTCATTCATTATATGCATGAAGGTAAAAAACCTTCTGTGTGCAGCAGCCTCCCCTAATACTTACCTGAGCACCATCACAATCCAGCGATGTGCATGAGAGCCTTGGCTCTCCTTGGACTCTCCCTCCTCATTGGCTGAGACAACAGTGGGAGCCATTTGCTCCCACTGCTGTCAATCAAAGTCAATGAGCCAATGATGAGAGAGAGGGCAGGGCCGAGCAACACTCTGTGTGAATGGACATGCAGAGCAGTTACTTGGGAGCGGGCCTGCTTCGGTGCCCCCATAGCAAGCTTCTTGTTCTGGGGGCACTTGACAGAAGGGAGGAGCCAGGAACGCCAGAGGGAGACCCGAGAAGAGGAGGATCGGGGTTGCTCTGCGCAAAACCATTGCACAGAGCAGGTAAGCATAACATGTTTGTTATTTTAAAAAAAAAACTTGCCTTCAATATCACTAAGTGTAAAATGGGACTGTGTATATTAGGGGTTGCCAGTAACATTTTGAAGATAGGGTAGTTTTACAATAATATTATTTATCAAACTACTTTGGATATTGCATCATGTTTTTAACCACCTCCCGCCCGCCATATAGTCCAATGATGGGCGCAAGGTGGTTCTCTTGTTCTGGGAGGACATCATATGACATCCTCCCATTCTCACCGCGCATGCGCGGCTCAGGGAGCGCACAGCACGGTGATGGGCGGTGCGCTGTGTCCCTCGGACACAGCGGATCACCGATCATGGAAAAGAGCCGAAGATGTCGGCTCGGTCATGTGATCAGCAGTGTCCAATCACAGCTGATCACATGTAAACAGGGAAATGCCGGTTATCAGCATTTCTCTCCTCTCGAGCTGTCACGCTGACAACTCGAGAGGAGAGCCGGTAATTGGCTTTCCGCAGAGGGGACATGTACACTGGTCATCAGGGCACTGATGATCAGTGTGCCCTGATGATCAGTGTAGCCCCAGCAGTGCCACCTGTCAGTGTCCATCAGTGCCTTGTGTCAGTGCTCATCAGTGCCTCATGCCAGTGCCCATCAGTGCCACATCAATGCCACATATCAGTGCCTACCAGTGCACATCAATGCCACATATCAGTGCCCATCTGAGCTGCCTTTCATTGTCACCCATCAGTGCCAGTCAGTGCCACCTATCAATGTCAATCAGTGTCACCTATCAGTGCTGCCAATCAGTGCCACCTATCAGTGCCAGTCAGTGCTGCCTATCAGTGCTAGTCAGTGCTGCCTATCAGTGCACATAAGTGCCGTCTATCAGTGCCGTGTCAATGCCGCCTAACAGTACCAGCCAGTGCCCGCCTATCAGTGCCATATATCAGTGCCATGTATCAGTGCTGCCTTTCAGTGCCCATCAGTGATGCCTGTCAATTCCCATCAGTGCCACCTACCAGTGCCTCCTCGTTAGTGCCCATCAGTGCAGCCTATCAGTGCCCACCACTACAGCCTCATTATCGCATATCAGTGAAGGAGAAAAATCACTTATTTACAAAACTTTATAACAAAAACTAAGAAAAAACTTTTTTTTTTTTCCAAAATTTTCAGTGGTTTTTGGTTTGTTTAAGAAAAAAATAAAAAACCCAGAGGTGATTAAATTCCACCAAAAGAAAGCTCTATCTGTCACAAAAAAATGATAAAAATTGAATATGGGTACAGTGTTGCATGACCATGCAATTGTCATTCAAAGTGTGAGAGTGCTGAAAGCTGGAAATTGGCCTGGGCAGGAAGAGGGTATAAGTGCCTTGTAGGCTAGTGGTTAAATAAACTAAGCAAATTGTCTGAATTCAATAAGGTCCTGTGATCTTCAAAACATGAAAATTCCATTTCTGCTCTGCAGTACCAAGAGCCCTTTGGATTCTGTATCTTCACAGTCCAGTGTTTGGGGAAACCCAGATCATTCTGCTATTATCCATGGCTTGGATTTAGACTTGAAGGCTTAATTTGTGTTCCTTAAGCAGTCTGCCATCATATAGCTTAATGTAAGCCTACATCTGTACCTTCCCTTCAGAAATATGTTTGATCTATTTTAGGAAAGAACTCTGGATAAAGTGATCCTTTATCAACTCCCTCTTGTACTGTCACAGTAAAGGGAATTTGTGTGCTCATGTCAAATTAAATCATACAGGATTCAATCATTAACATTTTTCACTTATTAATTTTCAGTTGGGACTTCATTGAAAATATCTATGTACTATTTGGCAAACGTAAATATTTAAAAATATAAACTGTGGTCCCTACACCCCAGTCAATATGCACTAATTTCTTAATGATGAACACAGCCTAATCTCCAGCCATGCACAATTGTACAGGCTCCTGCCCTGTACTGAAATTGCTCACTGTGATTACACTGCACACTGTTAGTTTTTCACAGTGTGTTTTAAAAGCTGCAGGAAGATACCCCCCTCCCCCATTTCTTGGCTAGAAGACTTCCAGCATCATCTAGTTCTTTCTTTCCAAGCCTTATTGTCTCTGGCCTGCTCCTTTCACTTGTCAGATTGTAGCTTTTTCAATTATGGAGGCCCAGTATCATGTGTTTTCTTCCAAAAATACCTGTTAATCCTGCCATTGAAGTTCACCTAATGCAGCCTCTTCTGTAGGCATAGTATTGATGCTGTGCAGCTCCTCAATTCAGAGCAGCATTGCCACTTTCATGTAGATTGTGCCTGCATTACAATGAGATGCGTAGGCATTGCAAGGGGCATGGCTATCAACATTGTCGCTGCTGATTCACAACTCTGTAACTTGTCAGCGAGCACCTGGTCACACCTAGCCTTGCCTACCGATTTTTGGATTGACAGTACTGCATCTTTTGCAGAAGTTGCAGTGTCTGGGAAAGGGACACAAATGAAGGAGGATTTGTCTCAATCAGTGAAGATAAAGAAAGTTTTTTTTGTTTACTTTATATGGCTTATGCATCCCATAGTAACTGGATTTGGTACTTGTTTGGACTTTCATTCATGAGCTTTTCGTTTAACAATTGCTTTGCATCTCAGGTCAAATTATGCTTTACCAAAGTTCAAGATCCCAACTGTGGCACTTGCATTCTACAGAGTAAAGTACTTACTCTATTTATTGATTCTTTCAATTACTAGATATTCCAAGTATAAGAAAAATGAACCTGCATGGAGTTATCAACTTTTGATCATTTTTGTCAAGATAAAGAAGCAATTGGGCTATTTGTTTGAGAGATCCAATTTTCACTTGTCATTTCCAATTACACCCAAGTCATGGGCACCAAATATGACCTTCAACATCACAGGTCAATTTAAACTTTTTTATTTGCACAAACACCTACATTTTAAGGACAAGCTTTTAGGTCCTACAACCTTTTAATAAGGTCCAAGCAGTACTGGCATTTTATGCTGGCTGATCACTAAAAAGAGTGGGAAATTTGAAAAAAAAATTACTTTTGACTGCTGGTGATTGCTGGTGCTTGTAGTTGTTTTATTTTCTTCTGTGGGTCTTGCTAAAAGCTTTTACTTTTTTAAATCCCTTTTTCTGTCACTTTTTTAAATAGCTTTTTTTTTTCTTAATTTCCTTGTCTTCCTTCACTCTGTTAATTAAGGGGAGGGGTTAATTGGTCTCAGGTGAGACAGGTCCTATATAAAACTTGCGGTAGAGCTCACTCTGAGCTTGCCTGTATTTTTCTTGCTGGACCTTTGATAAGCGGAGTAAAAAAACGGAGTTGAAAACAGGAGATTATAACAGGAGTCTACTAACCTGTAAGTGACAACTGATCTTTCCTATTTATATTGTAACTGGGATAATGTGTTCTAGCAGGGTTGAGGGTTTTGTGCAGTGCACAGTGTGCCGCATGTATGTAGCAATGGAGCAACAGCTCCAGGATGGATACAGATGTGACAGATGTGGCGGGTTGCCCTTCTGGAATCTCGTGTTAGAGGTTTGGAGGAGAAAGTTGCAACACTGGGCAGAACAGACAACCTTTAAAAGGGGTCTTCTGCTCCCTGAGCAGGTAGGTAATGGGATTGATGTGGAGGGCGGACGGGCTAATCATTATCAGGTATGAAAATAAAAAAAACACGCAACATACATGTGCAAAAGGTGTCAATGAATTCAAGTGTTTGTTCACCAATGCCAGAAGTCTGCCAAGCAAAATAGGTGAGTTGGAAGCTTTGGTGCATGAAGAGAACTATGATTTAATTGGTATTTCTGAATCTTGGCTTCATTCTTCACATGACTGGGCCATTAATATTCCTGGCTATGTTCTCTTTTGGAGAGACAGGGTAAAAGAAAAGGTGGTGGTGTCTGTCTCTATGTGAGAAGTGATCTCAAAGCAAGTGTGAAAGAGGACCAAGTTGATGGAGAGTGTGATGAGGCTGAAACATTATGGGTGGAACTGCACATGGGGGTGTGTACTACAAAGGTAATCATTGGAGTTTGTTATAGGCCACCCAGTGTTAATGAGCAGGTGGAGACTCAGCTCCTTGCACAGATCGAAAGAGCTGCAAGGGCTGGGACAGTAATAATAAAGGGGGATTTTACCTACCCAGAAATTGACTGGAGTAATGGCACTGTAGGAACAGTTAAAGGGCAAACATTTGTAAACCTACTACAGGACAATTTTATGATACAGCTCATAGAGGCCCCTACTAGGAATGATGCTCTGCTGGACCTGATAATCTCAAACCATACAGAGCCTATTACTAATGTCCATATAAAAGAACATCTGGGTAGCAGTGATCATAACATGATTTCATTTATTGTTAGCTGTAAACAACAAGCACATACATGAAAAATAAAAACACTTAACTTTGGGAGAGCTACTTTTCCAAGGCTGAGAGCTGCTCTCCAAGACTTAGACTGGGAGGGAATATTGGCATCAATGAACACAAAACAGAAATGGGAGTTCTTCAAAATGACTGTATGTTAACACACTGAAAAATATATTCCCATGAGCAACAAGTTCAAAAGGCTAAAAATCAAACCTATGTGGCTTACAGCCGAAGTTAAAAAAGCTACAAATATAAGAAAAGAGCTTTTATAAAATATAAATATGAAGGAACGCTATCATCGTTTATAACAGAATATTTAAAAGGATACCAAGGCTACAAAAATTGAAAACGAACGACAGATTGCAAAAGAGAGCAGGAAAACCCCAAAAAAATTCTTCAAATATATTAATAGTAAAAAGGTCAGGTCTGAGCATGTAGGCCCTTTACAAAATAATCTAGAGTGGGTGACTGGGGACAAAAAGAAGGCAAATTTATTAAATACCTTCCTCAGCTCTGTGTATACAAAGGAGCATAGGGGAGCTCTTGTCCATAATAGGCTTTGTATTGACACAGCCCCAGATGATCCACATTGGCTCACAATTGATATGATCCAGAAATATTTAGAAAGAATAAAGGTGAGTAAAGTACCTGGACCAGATGACATACACCCATGGGTCCTTAAAGAATTGAGCTTTGCCATTTCAAAGTCATTGTTTCTAATCTTTAGAGACTCTTTAATGACTGGCATAGTACCGCTGGATTGGCGTAAGGCCAATGTGTTGCCTATATTTCAAACGGAATCAAAATCTTTACCAAGTAATTATAGACCTGTTAGTTTAACTTCTACAGTTGGGAAGATACTGGAGAGTTTAATAAAAGACCACATAGATGAGTTCTTGCTTGAAAAAAATATTTTAAGCAACAGACAACATGGATTCATGAAAGACAGAAGTTGTCAAACAAATCTGATTTCTTTTTATGAGGGGGTGAGCAAAACCTTGGACAGAGGGGTGGCGGTGGACGTGGTATACTTGGATTTTGCAAAAGTGTTTGACACAGTTCTCCACACATGGCTAATGTGTAAGGTAAAGTCTACAGGCTAGCAAAAATCAGTATGTAAATGGGTAGAAAACAGGCTAAAAGGCTGAATTCAAAGAGTAGTGGTTAATGATAAATACTCTCAATAATCTAGGTTTGTTAGTGGTTCACTGTTGGGACCCTTACTTTTTAATATATGTATAAATGATATAGGGTCTGTGATTAAAAATCCCATTTTAGTCTTTGCAGATGACACCAAGCTGTGCAGTGGAATAACGTCCTTACAGGATGTCTCCAACTTACAAGCCGACCTCAATGCACTGTTTAATTGGGCAACTATGTGGCAAATTAGGTTTAATATTAATACATTTAAAGTTATGCACTTGGGAGCTAAGAATATGCATGCACCATAC